ATTTTAGAAGCCTACTATCTGTGCTCTTCCTCTAGAAGATCTGTATATACTTGCATCTGAAGAGGATTAAGGATAACCAGATTTTTAATTTAAATACTGTCTCACTGATCCTAACATGCATTGGCTTTTGTCTTTTGTAAAAAGGCAGATTTAAAATTCCATTATATTTGACAGTTGGGGGAGAGGGTGTTTCTGAAACAGCTCTAGGAAGGTCTTTGCCATTCAGGTTGGTTTGGCAATTTTCCAAGCAGAAAGTAGCATTTAAACTTTGTTTTAGAGCATAGGTGCCATTTGGTCATTGGGAAACTGAGCACACGTGCTACAGGAAATCCTACCTGTGGGCTAAAATTGTTTGTTTGCCATTAGCTCTCTCTAAAAAGTCCCAAGATCTCTTTTGTTTCATTTCCTTCATCAGGCAGCTGCTTAACAAATGTCAGGCTTTAAAAGGGCATTGAAAACACAGGCCTTTCTGACTGCAGCCATCTCAAAGGCCATCTGGGATAGGAAATCTACAACCAGGTTGTCACTGTGTGACTTACCTTCTTTTGTAGTGGAGTTTCTGATGATTATTGCAACAAATCAACACAGGGAACAGCACGGGCACAAGCTGAGCAAAAACCATCAGATTAGGTTCTTTGTGGTTATCCTTGGCTTTTGGGAATACCAAGGTCTGCTTCATCCCTACAAAATTAAAGTATCATTCCACTTACATTTTCCCTATGAAGTTGTATTTTCAGCTCAGGCTAAACCAGAGTCCTGCATATATTTTTATCCCCTATGAAGTTAGAGGTAGTTAGGAAGTCTCAACTGAGTGTATTGTTGTTCTGTGTATGGTTGCTGCTCTTGCAGGAAGGGGCTTTTCTCTTCCTCCCCCACAATCCATGAGCACAAGCTAGTGCCAAAGCTGATGCTGGAGGAAACAAGCAGAAGGCTCAGCTTCCTTACTGTGCTCAACTAAAAGCAAGGAATGTACTCACTTCGTTAATGCCAAATAAATACATTAAGGACAAGAGGATCCTGTCCCCTCTGGGATACACCAACACCTCTTACACATGCAGTATAGTCAGGGGATTAGGCTCATCCCTGTAACTGTACAGCTGTTTAGCTTAGTATCTGTGTCTTTTATAAGGCAAGTCCTATTCAAACATTGCACCTTTGTAGGCTACTATACCTCCATTACCCTACATTTCCTTTCACATATAGAACACTCAGGTGAAGTATTATAAAGGGAAGATAATGTATACTTTAAAATAAGTGCAGATTCTGGCCCTGGCAAATAATTTTTACAATTTTCTTGCCCTTTCTTCTTAGAAAAGAAACTTGTGTAAGCACTTAAGATTTGTTTTCATATTCTTCTCTCAAATGCATATTCTTGTATTTTTTTCCCACAACTCTGGAAAAATTACTGGAGCATTAACTGATCCTTAGATTATAACACAGCCTTGGCCAAATATATAGATCAAGCTTTTTTTCCCCTGCACCATTTAGTATTTTTGATCCACATGGTAGAATATTAGATGCTGATGTAAGCGTGGAAGTGTTACACAGCAAGACTTTTAGAAGGCCTGTGTGTGCAAAAATTGACATAGCTACACAACAGCTCAGACTGTAACAAAGGAACACCAGTCAGTGTTACTTTACTTCCAGTTACAGTCGTGCACTTCTCAACCCTTATGTCTTCTCTCTCTCTCTGTAAACATGCAATTCAAGTTTGAAACATTACAATTCAAGGCTTCAATAAAATGTCCCACCAAGCATCTTGCCCTCCTCAGTTGCTTATCAACAAACCACACAGTTCTAAACAGCTACAAAACAAGGGGCAGAGCTGACAAAATGAGAGCCAGTAGCTGCAAGGGGCTTTCAGAGGATCTGCACTTTACTTGATTTACCAAGAGAAGACTACTACAATGAAATGACGTTTAATTTTATCAGTGGTGCAGAGGGGTAACTGGAGATAGCCTCTTTTCAAGTTTTGACGTTCTCCTTATTCACTGCAAAGCCTTTTCTGTGTATTTTTTTTAAATTAAATTCTACTTTAAAGCTCTGTACAAGACTCCATAATGCTGCTGTTCATACCAGAAGGTGAGACACCCCCTCAGACACACATCCTCCATTTTGTTGTTAGGAAGATTGCAGGCTAGTCCTTGGGTAATCCAATCCATCAGTTCTCAGACTCAGTGAGTACATGGATGAGTTTTATCAACAGCTTCAATCCCATCTGCCCCAGGAGTGTGAGATTCAGTCTTAACTTCCTGATGCAAGTTTCATCTAACTATTCTGTACAGTAATTATGCACCTGACCACACAATCCATCTGGGGTTTGAACTGCCAGCTATTCAGAATTAAGTTTGTGTACATATAGTAGAGGTTTTTATTGTTTTGTTGGCTTTTTTTTGTAAAGGACATTTACATTGTTTGATAATACCAAAGAGAAGTAAAATCACTAGGTTAACACTTGCTTTATACATCCTCACTTCAGGGGACCTGAAGTGATCACATACACTTTGATACACCAGAAGCTTATTTTTATACCCATGAAGGCAGCTACCATCATGTTACACTTCAGAATGCAGAAGGAGTTCCAACTGGAGAAAGCTTGTTCATTTGCCTGTACTCCATAGTGATGTATGTTCATTAAAGTTTGTCATATTTATAATTATGGATTTTATGAAGTTTAAAATAAAATTAGTTTTCCATTAAGATATTTGACATGTAGTTCTGCCTCTTTGTTTGCATGTTTTAAGGGTGATTTACCTGCCAGTTCCAGGAGGTGCCAAAGGAAGAAGGCTGCAGCAAGATCTTTGCAGAAGTAAGAGTAGGGTGGCTTCCCCACCCTTTCACGCTACCTGATAATGGTTTTAACCCTGTTGGGAGCTGAACACAATGAGGACATATGCAAGACAGTGCACACAACTGTTTTTATATCCTGCTGAACACACAAGTAATTCATTGCCCAAGTGCAGGGAATTTGGGTTTCTAGCCAGAACTGGCAAGATGAGAGGGAATTTGATAGCAAGAGATGCTTCAACAAACAAAACAAAAACTCCCAAATAACCCAGGGAAGTCTTATTAGGAGCTGACTGACAAGTTGCAAAAATAAGATACTCAACCACACACATACCTCTGCTTCTGCTTTTTTTTTTTTTTTATATGTATGCTGCACAGAAAATAGTTTAACCGTGAAAGTTGAAGTAGAAAACATTTAATACAATGTAGCACTTCTGTAGTGCTTTTCATTTGGTATTTAATACTGTCAATCCCAGCTTTTCCTCAAGTCACGGTCCCATCAGAAGTTAGAACCACAAATCTCTTTCCCAAGCATTTACTGGGGCTGGGAAATGCTAACAATGGCAAAGCTGAGCCTTCAGGTCTTCAGGAGGTGTAAACATATAAATATTCAGAGCTGTTCCTGTTTAACAGCTAGAATGTGTTGAATCTAATTTTTATGAAAACAGGTTCCTTTGCCTCCTGTTCTGCAGGGCCTTACAGCAAATTTCAGCAGCATCAAGTACAGAGGTGTTAGGCAACAGAGTACCCTCCTCTTTTCTGTATATGAAGGGACTTTGGAAAACTTGACTAAAGCTCTGATCTCATGCAGTTCAGAATAAAGAGTGAATAATGGATGCAAGGATTCAGAAAGCTGGAAGGAGGTGACAGTTGTCCACATACTGCAAAGGATTCTAAAACCAGAGTGACACTGGGGTGCAATCTTGAACTGGAAGTGGGTGTTTAAAGACTAAGCTTTTTGCAGCAGCAGAAGATTCTGTTCTTAGCATGTGACATAAGACTTAGCTTGCACAGACTCAAAATGTGGAAAACAAAAATGTTTACTGTAGTGTGAAGAATTTTACATTAACTTTGAGAAGAGATACACAAGCTGTGGCAGGGATGAAATACAACAGGACTGCAAAAACATAGAAAATACTTTGGGGGCAATACTAAAATTCCCATCAAATTAACAGTATAAACCGACATCTTCGATAAAATGGTGCTTTCAGAAATGCTTAGCAACCAAAACCAAAAAGTCCTAGGATTTTTACTACCACTTATTAGCATAATTACCAGACACTACTACTGCCTAACAGCTGCTGGCAAAACATGCCCGTGCCCTTTTCTAAGTTTCATTGAGCACTTTTTCTCTAGGGCATATTAAAATCCCAAGTCCCTTTAACAATTATAAAACCCCACACAGTACAACCTACAGAGAAGTTTAAGAACACCTCACCAATCTACACTGGCAATTCCTTTTCTTCATGCATATTTCAAGGACGAATCCCTTATCAGAGCTGTCCTGAACACATCTATGACTCCCATTTTCGAGCAAAAAAAAAAACCAAACAAAAACACTTAAAGTGCTGAAAAATAATACTTCACTTTTTTTTTTTTTTTTGAGGGGGGCGGGGGGAAGGGCAAGGGGCCAATCAACTCTTTTTGGTCACTGGAATCACCCTCAGAGTCCAAGCCAGACTTGGGAAGGTGGCTAGAAAGGGCCTACCACCCCTGAAAGTGTTACCATCCCCTTTCTGTCTGTCTCTTAACGCCAGTTTTTACAGGCGTGACTCGTCTTGATCCTTTCTGTGAGCACCAAGGGAAGAGTGAAGACTTTTAGACCCCACACATGCAACAGCTTTCCTGTATACAAAGTATTTCTACAGTTTCAGCATAATACAGACAAATACAGATGTTTAAAGAATATGCCACTCATACTCAAGAGATCCACTGTATCTAAAGAGCATCTCATTCTACAAAACTGAAGCCAAACTGCTCTCTGCAAAATGTCTGGCTTGAATTTCAGACCCCCCGCTGGCGTAAATTTACACGGGAACATTACTTGTTATTGCTTCAGCCAGGCTGCTACAAAACAATTGACAAAGTCTGTGAAATAGGAGCACAGCTTAAACATTTGATAACTTGTCTGGCCTACAAAGGATTTACTGAATAAAAACTTCAGCCCTCCACATCAATTACACTTCTTAGTGCAGTTTTAAATTCTTAGAGTAAACGCTTAAGATTTGGCATATATTATTGGCACAATGTTCTTCAAACACTTAGAAGTTCATGTATAAATATTTATACTCCCATTAACCAGGACAGGGCACAAGAACTCCTCAGCCAATCTGGGCAGCTTTTCTGCCTGCGCATATTCCCTCTTTGATTTTCATGCACTGAAGGGAGAGCTGCTTCATTCGGGCATCCAAAGCCAGCCCCTCAATGGAGCTGCTCCTGTTGCTGTTCCTATTCTTGTTCGCTCTGTCGCTCGTCTTGTTCTCAGCCCCTTCTGCCCTATCCCCTGCAAAGAAAGGATTAAACTAGATGTTAAATCCGGATTTCCTTCTGCAACTTAAGCTTCCAGCAGGTGCCTCTGCAGCTTCCTTTGCCAAAGTGTGCAAAAAAACACAGGAGCAGGAGCAAGATGCTTTAAGGAAACCAAAGTTGGCCTTTAAAGCTGCACTTGTCTTGTGCACTGCATGAGCAAGTTACAGTGTAAACAGCCTGAGGTCAGAGTACTCAAGAGCACTGGTAATCCTCTAGTCTGAATTTGTCAGCAAAGTCTGGCAGAGCCTGCAAGAGGTTCCTTTTGGCATGTTATTGCATTATTTTTTTTCTGGGAAGTAGCATTTTCAGCAAGCAGGACAGCAATTAAAAAAAACACAACACCAAAAACCAAAAGAGCCTACGATCAGATTTCCATATACCATCCATATCCCACCAATTAATGATGAACCTCAAACCCCTCCACAGGAAAAGAGTAACTGAACCATTTCAGATGTCACTGTTAACAGTGGGACGCAGAGTCTCCACATGGCTGCCTTCCCCAAGGAAGTGGCCAGCGGGCCAGAGCTCAGGGAGCTGGCAAACACGCCTAGGGCAGCTGGGGAGGTTTTCCTGCTCCTTTCATCAAGCTGAAACCCAGGGCCCCGGGCGCCTCCAGCCGCACGTACCTCTTTCAGCTTCGCACTCGGGGGAGGATGCCCCGCTGCATTCACTTCGGGGGCCAAGGACAGGGAAGATCATCCCAAACTCGGAGAGGGATACAGGGCTGGGCAGATCCAGCCTTCCAGGTCGTGTCGCGGGAGGAAACTGAGTGGGCACTTCACAGGGGCTTGTAGGACCAGAGCTAAAGCTGGACACCGACTGAGTTTCTGAATCTTCTTCAGATACAAAGCTGCTGCCGTTTTCATCCTCAAACGCTTCTGAAGCCACTGCAATGTCCAAGAATATTCCAGTTAGCAAACCTACCCCCCTCCTGCACCTTCGCGAGTAACAGCAGCTCCTCAGCTTTCATCTTCTGAACACACATGCTGCCCCTTCTCATACTGCATCCCCTTTGCAAAGCCTTAACCCAGCATTTCACACATGGATCAGGAAGGCCTGATTCTGCTTTGAGGGACAGTACACCTGCCAGCCATGCCATGCAAGACTAGCTCTACACTAGTTACTGCTCCTCAGGCCAAGGTGCTCTTGGATTTCTACTGTCCCTGCTGCCCCCTGCTCAGCTTTGTTCACTTTTGATCTTTGGTACATAACTTAGGCCAGGGCCTAGTCCTCTGTGCCCACCTCAGCCAGCACCATATTGATCCCAGCAGATTCCTGAGGCAGATGGTTTCCACCTTATCTTCCCACTTTTGCAGTGAAAATCCAGCATTAACTCTTTTGGATGAGGACCACCAAGTAACACCGAACTTTAAAAAGCCCTGCCCACATATATAATTTTCCCTGTTCATGTTTGCCTAGATCTGAATTCTAATTAAAGCAAAACAACTCCAAGCTGTCTGGCTAGATTAAGCAGCAGGCTCTTTGTTAGCAACAGGAGGAGGAATCCATTAAAGAAGGTTCCATTTTGTGCAACACAGGGGTGTACATTTTGCTAAAATTCAACATTTTTTCAGTCTTGGCTCATTGTGGTATGGGAATATAAGAACAAAAGACTTCTGCACACAAGTAGTCCCACTGGGATCTGAAGGTGGTTTATGTGCATCAGCCTCTGCACAACGGAAGCGTGTGCTGTAATCACCCTGGTCTGCACAAGTACCATGAACAACAAGACATGTACAGTGACCTGAGGTTATCTTCAATTACCCCTCCTTGCAACTCCTGCCACTGTTAGAGAGGCTCAGAGCTGCCTTGAAAGAGCAGCAGGAGCAAAGCAGAAGTGTTAAGGAGACGACTCAAAAGAGAAGTTTCAAAGGAGTTCTTCTGCAACCCCAGCAGCCTGGGGCTCACTTGCAGCCCTTGGACTTGAAGGGTGGCAACAGAGGCAGCTGCTGTCACCATTTCTGCAGAGGCTGTTCAGCCTCTTTCTGAAGTATTGCAGACTGCAGAGCTGTACTTACACATGGCAGAATTGACCTAAAAGGCTTCAAACATAAAATGCATAACAGCACAATCCACCTTTCCTGAACCCCCTCTAGGGCACTTTGAGCTCAGAAACAGTTTGTTGTGGTTTGGGTTTTGTTGGTTTGTTTTTGACAATGTCAAATCAAAGCCTGCAGAGTGGCCTTTCTTCCCATGTGCTGTGTTTTATCAATATATGGTGAGCAATACAGATAACTTTGCAGGGGGTGAAAGCAAAAAAAGATGTTTCCAATTACAGGAGTCCTCTACTTGGCAAGAAGCACTGACACTAGCCTGTCTACAACAAGCACAACTAAAGTGTAGCTTACTTATCACCACTTAAACTTACCATAACACTCAGGGACATCTGCTAGGGCCAAGAAACTCTTGCTGATGACAAGGTGTTTTATTCAACTCCAGCAGATAGAAATCAAGATATAGAAGGGCCTTGGGGGAAATCCCCCACACATTACAGCACATGAGAGCTTAACCTGTCAAGGCTATTTTGGTTGTTCTGACTACTAGGCTGCTAGTCCTGCCCTGTTGTAACCCAGTTCTGTGTTGGTACGAGATGCAACCTGGAGACCTCCCACCTACACCACACTGCAATTCAAAGAGAGGGACGAGCCTGTGCTGCCAGTCCTTGCCTGCAGCCTCAGCAGGGGCCAGGAGGGACAGCAACTTGTTGCTCTGAAGTAACTTCTCAGGGCCAGTAAGGGCTCCCACTCCCCATACATATCAGGCCGCTGAACTCCTTCAGCACAAGAAAACCCACAACTCAGTTATAACTAAGGCTCTTGGGAGGCCTTTGCACAAGGAGGGGATCCTCGTAGGTATCTAAAAAGGCAATCCCTGCCTAACTCAGAAAGGCCCAACCTCTGGACTTCAGGGTGGCAGCAGATACACAGCCATACCAAAACCCCATTACAGCGCTGGCCCAGACACTGCCCTTGGTTGCTTTGGTAACTCAGGTCCCAGCTGCACAGTGCTGAGTGAGAGAGCTCCAGCATATCATGTGAAAACTCCAGCTACTGCAGAGGGCAAAGGTCAGCCCTGGGCTGCCTCCCAGCTCCCAGGGCACAGATGGGCTGTACTGCAGACCTAAAAGGCATTGGCACCTCCAGCATCTACGAGGGAACCGCACATTCAGCCTTGGGGCACTGGGGCTGTGTCATGCTGAACTCCTGGAATCCTGACCTAGACTTTTCCCTGCAGAAATGGAGCTGAAATACAAATTAAACTGAGATTCGTGGAACTGGGCAAAAAAAGACTTTTGCAACAAGAAAGGGAGAAGAGTGGACCACAAAAACGTCCATCTAGCCACTTTCACTCAGAGGCAGGACAAAAGCAAAGTCACAATTCAACAGACTGTTCTAGTCTTCGCAACACAAGGTCCCCATGTGCCACCAGAAAGCAGAGGTTACCTAGGCTTGGAGCTCGCTTAGTGGTTGCTGCTGACACCCAAGAGAAACGTCCCTCATACACTGCACAAGAATATCGCTGCTTCTTGGCTTCCCTTGTTTGCAGAACAAGTGCTCTGCTGAAATCACATCACTGGCAACAGATTTTGCAGCACAAAGGGGCTTATCCTTACACCCCTTCTGTGCAAGCATCATGCTTTTCTGTACTCCTGTAGCTGCAACTTCAGTTCCTCTGCCACAGGCCCGGCGCTGCCAGACGAGCACTTGATCCAAAAGGTCTGTTTCCAAACAGCACTGCCAGCTCAGCAACCTGGCTGAATGACCTGCCACAGCCTGCAGCCACCCCAGGCAAAACACCAGCAGCAGCATCACTGGCTTAAAAACGAGAAGCACGCTTTGAAGGGCATTAATTTTGTTTCTTTCACCCAGTGCTGTACAAAAACCCCAACGGTGATGCTGTCAAGGGAGCAGCTGGCACACTGCAACTCGTACCCCTGCCCCTCGAACACTGGCTGCTGAAGAATCCCAGCAACTCCTGTAGTAAGGAGGAGCATAACAAGTCAGCCACAGTCCCACAACAGCCAGCAAACGTCAAACTGCAGAATGCCCTGAGCCACCTTCATCTCAGCATTTCTCACAATGCCCGTGGGACATCCCCAGGCACAGGAGAGCTCTGTACTCACTGGAGATGGTGTCCGACTCTGGTTTGCTTGCTGACAGGTCTTCCACAGAGGTGTTGCTCCCTTCAGCACCCACGCCACAGCCTCGGGGCCCCATGGCAATGGACCGTCTCCGCTCGTGAATCTCATCTGAGATCATCTCCAGGTTTTTCAAGGCAGTCTTATACTCTCCCTTTGCCAGGGCTAGTTTTGCCTGCAGGTCATCCACTGTTTTCTTCAGTTGCTAACAAGGGAGACCGGTGTTAGATGCGCTTTCATCATGTGTGATGATTGAATACTACAAGCAGGTAACTTGTTCTGTTAATTGACCCAGCCCGTGAACAGAAAAGAGCACCCCAAGCACAGTTAAACAGTTGGATGCATAAAACAGAGGGAAAAAAACCGAACAAGTCCCAGAGACTTCAAACCACAAGGACTAAAGACAGTGAAACGGTATTGGTTCAGTTCTGGCAGTAAGCAGCAGGGTTGGAACACTCCTGTTTCACACAAGGAAACAAAGCCTCTCAGTCTTTTATCTTAAAAACATGCTTAGCAAATTGCTCGGGAAGTTTTGGCTTTGTGCAGAAACACAACACAGTTGTCAGAGCACTTCAGATGTAATTTCAGGATTTACTGTAAGCAGTAAAGAGTTTCAGATGGATCTGAATCACATACATACCTCTAGTTGGACATAGTACTTTGCCTTGAGTTCAAAATAAGGTCTGTGGAAAAACAAAGAACAATTGTTTACAATCACTGGGACTGAATGCAGAGTCCTGGAGTGGGAGTTGCTCTCTTTGTAGCACTAACTGAGCAATTCTGTGTTTCACTGTAATCCCAAGAGGCCAGTATCTAGATGACAGAACACCTACATGTGCTCTCAATGCCTCTCTCTTCCACTCTAATGCATCTATTTCTCATGGGTCTTTTGACTCAAATAAAAAATGAAACATTTCAAGTTTTGGAGTTGACAGCATAATTCCTTCAGGCCTAGATTCTGCAAGACATTTAAATGCAACATCCAGCTTCAGGTGTAGGCATCCTCTCTGTATCCATCTAATCTCTGAGCCCACAGCACACGTAAATTCTCCATAGAAAGGGAACCTCAGACTCCCCTATGGTTCAAATGTGGGGGTGAAGGGGCAGTTCTTTGGTTTTCCAGTGAAGGAGAGGGGATGAAAGGAGGTCAGAGCACCACATACAAGGGCAGAGCACTCTTCCTCACTCCTTGCTAACACCCAGCTGGGCACCTGATGCCAGCAGACAGCAATGCACTGGCAGGGTGAGGACTTGCACATCCTTGGGTCACTTCCTTCTCTTACACCCACAACCCTGCAACTATTGAAATTGCTCCATGACACTGCAGGGCTGGAGAATCCTTCACTGATGCAATCGATGTCCTACATTATCAGTTGTCTTAAGTCCATGACACTGCTTAGTCAAACAAAGTGCTTTTTAAGTAGATGACAAAAAGAGTGAAAGGGACTTTGCCCAAGTCACTGGAGCAGAAAGTGACTTCCAAAAACCAGCTAACACAGATGAGTTCATTATTCTACAGCTCAGAGGCACCGAGCCAGAAGATCTGGCGACTGTTAAGAACATGCAGCCATATGCACGTTCATAGCTTACAAGCAAGTAAGCACCCAGAAACAAAATTAAAAGCAAAACCAAACCAAAACAATCCAGTAATCATCCACTCATCAACTTTACAAAGCAAATAATCTCAATTACTTTCCTCCAGGCTGTCCCAGTCTTAATTGCAAATAGCAGTGCTTTAAGCATCTTAATCCAGTCTGAAGTGAGGAGCAAATGCACATCATTTTTTTGCATAGAAAAGGGCAATTCATCTAGCATGTCTACCCACGAGTTTTTATACAGAAAGGATGGAAAACATGGGTCTGAAAAGCCCAGACATTACAGCCAAACCTCCCACAGCACCTACAGAGAAGGGCAGTTTGCTGGTGTTAGATCCTTCCTGAAAAGGAGCTAGGACCCAATTACACCCTACAATGCATGCAAATTCAGCAGCCTCACTTCCCAGTTTTATGTAGCCACCTGACAGCACTGATACTTTCAGCTCAGTTTCCATTTTCCTTTACATGAAAGCTACAATGCTGAGAGACAACTGACCTTTCCAACATCCCTAAGAAGCATGAGTTCAAATATATCCACAATAAGCCTGTTTGTGCCATCAGGCACCTTCCACTTTAATACTAGGTTAGAATTGGTATTTCTGAACAATCCTTATTAAAGGATCTCCAAAACATCCTACCTAGGTGGTTTATGCTGCAGTTAGCCCTGCTGTGAGACAAAAACGAATATGTTGGGATCCTTTCACGTGAAAGTGAAAACCAGCTTTTCCTGGGGAGAGTGACACAAGGCAACATCCCCATGAGGGTAGTTTCAGCAAGGAAATGAAGACTCAGATGACAAATCACACAAGAGGCAGATGGGGCATCAGGTTCAGCATCATCGTTGCTACAAAAAGGTACATAGGACCCCATTGGCAATTTATCAGGGTCTTTATTGTAAATGTTATTGTAAGGAGGGAACTCCTAACAGCCAAACCACTTCTCAGAGATTGCTCTTCTCCAGAGGAATCTGTCATTTAGTGATCTGATGAGGTTTTTCACAGTCCTGTGCAGTGCTAGACAGACAGCATGCAGCTCATTCTATGAAGTCACACTGCTACACTGTTTTAGCAAACATGCTTGAATCTTCCTTAAGAAGTGCTAATCCCTTCTTGAATTGAGCAAACACCAATCAAAATACATTTTTAGTTGACCAATTTCACCAAAAAGTCATTTTCAGATGGAGGGATTAAAAGCTAAATACAGCAAGCAGATTGTTTAGACAAGCTACAGTCTGGAAATATAAGGCAATGACTGTGAAATATAAAGAGGATTAAGAATTTGCTGTAAACAAGGCCAAAATTTTAAACAGGCCCTAAGCAAAAAACAGTTTCATTTCTCTGCAGCAGAGCAAAACTGTGTATCAAAAGCAGCCACATCTATTCATGACACTTGCTGCTTAGCTATGCTCTCTGAAGTGTGTTTCCTTCCCCAAGAACAGCTCTTGCACAGTTTTGCTATGGCAGCATTAGGAAGTAAACAAGCCTGAAGTACAGCATGCTGCTCTGATGCAGCCTCACACCTTTCAGGTTTACGTCACTCTGCTGCTCTCCTAACTAAAAATAAGAACTGCAAACAATTCTAAGCTGCAAGGCACCCATGCACAGAGCTCTGCAGCCGTGTAGGCAGCATCTTTGTGAATCTCATGAGTCAGGGGCACTTAGAAGGACCACAAATGCAAAGACAAATACTGCAGTACCAGTTGTACTGTGAGACTGTTACGTGCAGAAAGGAGCCACACAGGGCAACACACTTTCACGAGTTTGAAAAACCCCACAAAATTAGTCTCTCCTACAAACAGGCTTCATCACTAAACTCATCTCCAAACATAGAACCTACTTGGATTTATTGATGGCTCTTTTCAGCTTCTTCTCCAGCTGTTTCATCCTTCCCATGGCAGCATTGTATTTGGCTGCAGTCTCCTTGTGAACCAGCTCACTTCTCGTTTTGGTCTGTTCTGCCTCCATGACCTTCAAGAGGGAAAATACAGGTTGAGTGGTAAGACACAAGGATCCCTTTCTTATTATTTTAATTAACAGCATCTTCATAATCTCTCCAATCAGCTCATGTCAGGAAAGTGAGGGTACAGGAAGAATTACTTTCAACGAACCTACTTAACAGTCTTTTCTGAAAGAAGCAGCAATATGTAAGATTTGCAAACACTGTATTAATCATGACACAGGTCTTGCAGCTTCTTGCATCATTTCTATTATGGTAAGTTCAGGAGAGCCTTAAATTCTGGGATCAACCATTTTTTAACTCAGCTAGATATTCATGAGTGGAACAGTGCCAGCAGAAGTCACTCAGTTACATTAAAAAGCATTTTTTTCCTGTTCCCTCCTGCTTCTGACAGGGGAGCCTGCCTTTCCCAGCAGGGAGCTAGCAAGCTGCTCAGCCCCACACTGCAATCTCACCTCTCTGGAAAGGGCTAAAAATCAGCCACACTGGGGGGAAGACCATCACCAGTCACCAGAAAACCGTCCGATGACAGCCTGCTTGCAGAAGGCCAGAAACCCAGCTTTTCTCTTAAAGCAGCTGACCATCCTCAAATCACCCTTTCAACACCAAATATGCACTGAGGTTCAGGCCCTGAGCTGACATCCTGACCATGCAGTCAGGGCAAGCTATGCTGATGACCAGCCTGCTACCCAGGCAGGCAGATACTTAACACACAGCAGTCCCAGCACATCAGCTGCTCTCCATGGCCAGCCCAGGCCATCCCCAGCCAGCCAGGCTCCTGCCCTGCACACAAGCTACAAATCACTTCCTAAAAGCTTTATAAAACAACATGCAATGTCGTGGCTTTCTGCAGCAACTAGGAGCCTACAGAAGCAACAGGAAAAGTCAATGTTTCCTCCATTAGTTGCTCTGCTGCCACCCCATAGTCACACTTTGCCTGTAATCCTATCCAAGGTAGTTATATTTTGCAAATTGGAGATGTCAGAGCTGCAAATCAGAAAATTTGTTTTCTTTAATGGTTCAGTAGTCAAGATTCAGACAGGGAGGTAATTAATTAGTTTAAAGAAACTGGTGACACCTCTCTGTTGGTCTGGCAATGGGGAGAAAGCAGTCAGTTTTCAGTCTCCCTCTCTTGAAGCTATGAAGGTATCCACACAAAAAAATGGCAGGACTTCATTTTCTCCAGTACTTGATTTCCAAATGTCTGTGACACCAACTACTCCACAAGCTCCAAGGAAATTTGCTCCAACTGGCTCCCAGCACCAGAATGTGCATCTGTGCCCTCAGATCCAGAGAGAGAGAGAGAATATTCAAGGTATCTTGATTTTAAATAGCCTCACTGACAGAGCTCTACATTCTTGAAAAGGTCCCAGTCCTCAGGCTAAACTGAGAAAGAAGAGAGCACAGTCAATTTTCACTTGCTTGGAGTGCCACTGCTCAGGAGAACTGGTGTGTTGTCCTTTCTGATGCCTTACATCGAAGAAACTGCTACACACCGAAGCTGAACTGCATCACCATCAACTGGAAGCTCTTGCTGCCACAACTGGAGGCCATGTTTTGCTCATCTGCACATACCACTAATTAAACAAAGAAGTTGCTACAGAACTATAAGAAAGGTTTCCAAAGGCTCTTTTCATCAGACATAAAATACTATCCTCAACTTCAACACCTTTCAACTCTTACATAAAAATAAGGCATCCACTTTTGTAGAAAGGTCAAGGAAAAAATATCTATCCAATTCACAGCAGACTCTTTCCTGCATCCTGAAAACAAGCTGCAGCTTCTTATCTTGAACATCTGTTCAAAAGCTAGGTTGATTTAATGACTTCCCCTAGTAAAATATGTCAGATAAGGGTGGTTTCAGTGTGGAACTGTCTCAAAATGCAGTCTCCAAAGACTGCACAGAAGCTGGCTTGTCTTCTTTGTAGTGTGGCAAGGAAACTACAACTAAAAAATGCTGCAAGCTACAAAACAATGGAGTTGGTGGAATTTGCCAATGTCCAATTAAATGTCAATCCCTCACATCCATGCTGGAGGCAAAATTAGCATCAATTTTGATATCCGGCATCAAGTACATAAGTACTACCAGCACCAGGGTCATGAAGCAGATTAGATGCCCAGTATCATGTTGATTTTTCACATCTTTGATATCAAACATCATAGAAATGCTGATCCTTGCAGAACTAGGATTTGACAGACCATAAACATCTCAAAGTATCTGAGAAAATATGGAATTTGCTGCCAGCCACATATACTCATGTTCATTACCCTTTCCAGAAAGAATAAAACCAAACCAAAACAAAAACCTTCTATACTTCATCCTTTGAGAAATCAACCACGCAAGGAAAACCATCTCCTGCCACTCCCTTGTTTTCCTGTGAGCATTCTGTCATCATGCTCTCATTACCTGCTGGAGTTTGCAGAGGCCAGAGACAGCCTATCCCCTTTCCCAGGGACAGTGGCTCATGGTGCCCATCCTAGGTTGAGATCTGTGTTTTGAAAATTGTGAGGTATTTCTACAGAGATCCATGACCTGCCAAGATGCATTTCAGTGTTTCATTCAAAGGAAGCAACAAAAAGATCAACTCCTCCACAAAAGCCAAACAGCTCTCTTGTACTCAGCTCTGGTGAGACCACAGCTTGAGTACCATGTTCAGTTCTGGGCATCACAGAATAAGAAAGACATTGAGATCCTGGAGCATGTGCAGAGAAGAGCAATGAGGCTGGTAAGGGGTTTGGAGGGCATGTCATATGAGGAGAAGCTGACGGAACTGGGGTTGTTTAATCCAAAGAAGAGAAGACTCAGGGAAGATCTTAAAGCTCTCTACAACTACCTGAAGGAATGTTGTGGAGAGGCCAGTGGTGGTCTCTTCTCCCAAGTAACTAGTGATAGGACGAGAGGAAATGGGTTTAAGTTGTGCCAGGGGAGGTTCAGACTGGATATTAGGAAAAATTTCTTCACTGAAAGAGTGGTGAGGCATTGGAACAGGCTGCCTGGGGAGGTGGTGGAGGCACCGTCCCTGAAGGTGTTCAAGAACTGTTTAGATGTGGCACTTCAGGATATAGTTTAGTGGTTATGGTAGCTTGATTACAGTTAGACTCAACGATCTTGAGGGTCTTTTCCAACCTTAATGATTCTGTGATAAATAGAGAAGCATCAGGGCAGGTACACAGAAACAGATGGGAAACCATGCTGCTACCTCTACAGCTGGGAGGTTCAATGCAAGACCAGCTAGGGAAACCCCCCCAACACTTAAAAAGGCCTTAACAAGCTTTTGGTCACACTTGGGGAATAAGCTGTTTTGCAGAATAGAAGTCACTGTGCTTCTAGCAATAAATCTTGCCTGTTGATGCTCCCAGGCCATCACAGATGCAACAGCATCACTTAGAAAAAGGCAAAGATAAAAGTGAGGATGATACATCTTCAAATTAAGACTGCTCAAGACACTTCCCTTCCCCTTGCACTGTACCTGCTATTCATACCCTTGGGGCAGGGAACATACTCTTGCACAAAAACATCCAGACTGGGTGAACTTCTAGAATGGCCACATATTCACTGCACATTTCTGTAGCCCATATCCGTCCTTCATCAGTAAATCACCTATTCCAAGCTGAACTCATTCTCCCAGGTAGCACAGGCTACAAGATACAACTATTTGAAAACAAACCCAAAAAAAAGGCCACACAGGTATCAATCAATTCCTCTTCTCTCCTTCCCCACCCATATTTCCAACTCAAATGTCTGGGAAAGGAATGTCAGTGTAGAATACATATTTTTAGTGAGCAAGTCTGTATGAGTAGCTTTGTGCCCCTAAAAAAGATTTGCATTATCTGAAGTCAAAGATGGACTCCAAGCAAGATTTCAGGAATAACAACTAAAGCAAAAGAAAAATGTATCAGTGAAATTAAGCAAAGCTGACCACCTAAGCCAAACAGTTACTCTGGACAACTCTCTTTCTCAAAAAATTAAATTGATGACTCTTCTAGGGGAAGAATTAGACATAAAAGAAATAAGAGACAATGCAAGATCAGTAAGCCAGGAGAACAGGATCAAGAATACAAGGGAGTGCACTGAACCCCTGCATTTTCAGGGTGAAGTGACAGAGAGAATAGGGCAGAGAAGGATGTGGATATTTTTGTTGTTTCTTTCACAGAGTTTTCTTTTACCCCCTTCCTCTACAACTATTTCTATCTGCAGGAAGCATCTCTCCTCTCTACATCATGAAAGCACCCACACATTTTATACTGACAGATGGTACTTCACGGTGTAACATCAAAGGGAGCTTCACAAGCCAAATTAAACCAGGAGGGAGCATGCCTCCTCCCTCTTCACTCTCCCTTCATCCCTTCCTTTTTAAAATGTCTCATGATCAAGAGCCAAAACATTTCTTCTCCCTGACAGAATTTATGAACTGAACATATCTCAGGAAAGACTGTAAAAGCAGAACCTTTTTAAGACTGCAGATTGCACTGGCAATTAGAAATCAGCAATTTCTCATGAATATCATGAATTCTGCTCCAACTTGACTCAAACTTGAGGTAACACATCTGTCATTTATGAATGCTTTTCAACCAGAGTATGAGAGTCAAGATCTTTATCCTTCCTCCCTCCAAAATTCTCCATCCTTTGGCCCTTTTACATCCCTGCTCTCTGCACCCCAAGCTGCAGAAGTATAATTCAAGGTACTAACAGACCAGCAACACGCTTCTACTTCCCAAAAACCTTTTCTCCAAATTTTAAAGACAAATTGTAGTTACCAAAAACCTGATAAGCCAGTGGCTAAAAGTGAGCAGTACTTTTCTTCTCCAGACAACTTAAGAGCTCATCAAACCTCTCTACTGGCAAGCTAGGTGACTACATTTCCTTTATAATCAACAGATAATTCATTTTACAATGAACTTGCCTCTCTGGTCACATGAATTATTCTCCAGACACCATCAATTTATTGATTAGACCTACTTTGACTATAATGGAAATTTAGGCAAGTAAAAAGGATGTACAAAGTAATGTTCTAGACAACTGAAACTGATGAACGAAATCCCAGCCTAAGCATCACTACAGATCTGTGGAGAAATGGACATCTAGAAAAAACCCACAGGAATTTACCCCAAGAATACACATCAAGTTAAGAGGAGAAGCAGGGAAAGCAGCTGCCTGACTCACAGGATTACATCAGAGCCCTGTGCTTCACTGTGGTCAAGCACACAGCTCAAGCACAGACATTTACATGGATTAATTGCTTCTTCACAGACAGGCAAACATTCAGCTCCTATTAAAGCACCCAGCTCAAACTGCAAGGAGAAAAAAAAGTTGCTGAGTGACAGCCTGTACCTATTCATGCTGGTCCCGTCTGCTCTGCAAATAAAAATATGTTCCACATGTTATGCTTCCAGCCCACCCAGGATATGCAAAATTTCAGTAACTCTCCCATTTCTCATCAGTTTAATGGTATGATTTTCTGTATCAGCGGCTACAAAAGCCTTGTTTACTGTAACCCACTAGACTGTCACATTAAAAATAGTGTCAATGGCTTTTCAGTCTATGAAGAAATCCAAAAGCAATTACAACATGCAACCCTTATCTCCATTTCCTCCCAGTGAGGGTCTGCAAACAGCATTTCCTTGTAGGTAATCTGGAACCCAAATCTTTGTCCACATCCCTTGGGTCAAGTGTAAAAGCAACCTGGCAGCATTTCCATACTTGCCTGTATTGAAAAAAAAAAAAAAGTCTCTCATTTGTTCACTTGCCTATGCTTTTCCTTTACGGTCTCTGCATTGTTTGTGAGCTACCAAGCTGCTACAGGCCACAGAGTTTCCTTCCAAACTTCAGATTAATTCAATAGATCCTGCTAGCTCTAGTAAGAATAGCAAATAAAACCACTTTACTCTTTCCTGACATTTCTATCAACAGAGAAACAAATTAATCAGTAGCCTACTTCTAACATTTGGCACAGAGATGCTTTTCTGCACTTGACTCATTGCTGTACAAGGCCAGTGCAAGATCATTCTCTGTCCAATACAACCATCAGTTACAAATGTATGCAAAAAAGCTAGCAAATCCAAACAACTAGAGTGCAAAAACTTTCTCCAAGAGTGACTGCATATGGAGAAGTAGAGGAATTCTATTTCTTAACCCTCAGCAGCAGGATTTTTCCATTAGTAATTTCTAATGTAATTAATAATTATCTGAATTAACTGCAAGAACGTGGCAGTCAAGGAGAAAATTTATTCTAGTAAATCTCATCCTCCAGCCTTTTTTAATTCATAGCTTGGTAAGGAATGATGATGTTTTCTGCTCCTCAAGACCCCAAGTTATTATGTTTACCTCACTGAACACCAGGCACATCACTAATTGCATGCATTGAAATCAAGGAAGTATTCATTCTGCTCCTACAGAAGTCATAAAACTCAGTCAAGCACTCCAAACAAACTAATTCTGGATCTGTTCAGTCAGGACTTCCAAGAGCATTTGTCACCCTTCTTGGCTCTGGCCCAAGCCTTAAGACCTCCAGTATGGCCAATGAAATTCACAACACAAACTCCACATAATTCTTTCAAGATCTGCTGTACCCTGGAGAGGAGCAGGTAGGTGCTTTCTGGGAAGTTAGCTTATCCAAACTATTTTAAGCACCAGGAAGAGTTGGGTAACACATTTTCCATTTAAGAAGCCATCAGCTGCTCTATATAATTCATTCTATGACTAGGAGACTTTATAACTGCTGTAAATAAACCTAAGTTTCCTATTTGCTGTTCAGCTGAAACCATCAGAGACATTACAGCTTGACTCAGCCCTCCAACAAGCAGATACTCAGCAGTAAGTGATGGTACATATGACCACCACCAGAATAACTCCACCAAACAGTGCCAGCAGCCATCTCACAGAATCACAGAATCCTAGGGGTTGGAAGGGACCTCGAAAGATCATCTAGTCCAACCCCCCTTCCTGTGAATATCAGAAAAAACATCTTTACTGTGAGAGTGACAGAGCACTGGAACAGGCTGCCCAGAGAGGCTGTGGAGCCTCTTTCACTGGAGACATTCAAAACCTGCCTGGACACGTTCCTGTGTGATGTGCTCTGGGTGACCCTGCTCTGGCAGGGGGGGTGGACTAGATGATCTTTCGAGGTCCCTTCCAACCCCTAAGATTCTGTGATCCTGTGTGATATTCACATGGAACCTCGTATGTTTGCATAGTTTGCATCCATTGCCCCTTGTCCTATCACTGGTCATCACTGAAAAAAAGCCTGACTCCATCGTCCTGACACTCACCCCTTACATATTTGTAAACATTGATGAGGTCACCCCTCAGTCTCCTCTTCTCCAAGCTAAAGAGACCCAGCTCCCTCAGCCTTTCCTCATAAGGGAGATGTTCCACTCCCTTAATCATCTTTGTGGCTCTGTGCTGGACTCTTTCAAGCAGTTCCCTGTCCTTCTTGAACTGAGGGGCCCAGAACTGGACACAATACTCTAGATGTGGCCTCACCAAGGCAGAATAGAGGGGGAGGAGAACCTCTCTTGACCTACTAACCACCCCCTTTCTAATGCACCCCCAGGATGCCACTGGCCTTCTTGGCCACAAGGGCACATCTCGTGCTCTACATCACTGGGTTTGCCCATCTTAGGAATGCCCCTCTCTCAGACTGTCAAGGAAGGATTAAGGGTTGTAGGAGGATACAGGGATCCCCTCAATATATCCAGGGAAAATAAGAATCCATTTCAACTCTCAAAATTGCTAGCATTTCTTTCCTTATACACCCCACCACAAATTTTCATTATGCCAGCTGGAAAGAGGTGGCTGACACATGGTTGCTACCACTCTCCACCAGATCTCAGTTTAGCAGTCAGGAGCTCTAAGCAACTCCTTAGACACTTCCAGTTTTCTCACCCATCTATTCTGAGAATCAAAAATTGTGTGAAAAAGCTGGACTTTGCTTCAATTGAACAGACATAACAACTAGGGAAAATGACAGCTGCTGGTGCCCTGCTGCACGTGCACTGCAAAGGGGCTCCCCTGGGAAACACACAGACATTACCAAATCTGCCTCATGTCACCTCACGATAACAGGGACGAAAACAATACCCTGGAGTGTGTCTTCTCTTTTTTAATATATACCATGTTTTCCATCTCTCCCCTACACACAGCCAACATCCTTTTTGTTCCCTGGTTCTTCATCAGGCAGCTGGCTTTTACAAGTCACCATGAAATAAAGGCTTTTTTGTAACTGAGAAGCTTCTGCAACAGAGCAGAGCTACTGCATTAAGGACTGCAAGACAATATGAACTTTGTATGGCATGCTAGACTATTTGGAATAGAAAGTTCAGCTTCACTAGCATATTAAGGGAACTCTGACAGAACAAAGGTTTTTAACTTTGATTTTTGGTTCTTTCATGTTAAAAAAAAACCTTCCTGTTTTTTTAATTATTATTATTAATAGACAGGAAAAAAAAAAGAGACATGGTAAACAACAGGAAAACTCTTCCTGACAGCTATGAATACCACCTTTCATTGTTAGATGGTGCATCTCCTCTGTAGATGTAGAAAGACTTTACAAAGGAAGTTAAGACCTTGTCTAAATTTGAAAGTTAATTCAGGATAGAGCAGTGTGCAAGCTTAAAATGCCATATGTTTTTTGAGTAATTCTCTTCAGAAATGTGTGTTTGAATATAGAAGTGCCTTGTTCAACTTACTCCATACTGAGAACAGGTTATACTGAAATTGGAACATGTCCCCATTTTTTCAGACTAAGAGTTTCCATAACACGTGTATACAGGAATAGCCATCCCTGTGCAAGTATTCTGGCATAACTCCAAATGCAGATATGCCTTAAGTCATTGTTTATCCTTATTATATAGATGTGTTGTGGTTTATTTTTTCTTTAGAGAGCTACTCCACTAGCACAGCCAGATACAGAATTATAGTTGTCCCAGTAGCAGCCCAAAGCCCAAATTATTTAACCTTGTGCTTCATCATTTTCTATAGCTTCATTTCCTACACGTCATGTATCTGGACCAATACAAAAATTAGGTATTTCAGAAACTAAGCCTCCTACACCACAAGTGTGAACACAAAATATGGACAAGACATGTGCTGGGTCAAGTTTGTATTACCCTCTGAGTAGCATGGTTGAGCATCTCTTGCCAGGCAGAATCAAACTGACGTTTGTCATCTTCCAGTAGCCTCTGCTCAGCAAGAGAAATGGTCTCTTTTGCAGCACGCAGCACTTCGGTCGCCCTCTGAAAATCCTGAGTTGCCCTCTGAGCTTCCAGCTGTGCCTTAAAAAAAAAAAAAGAAGTTGGGATCAGAGACAAAGGAACCCTCACAGTCAATGATTAGAAGATCTACCATGTTAATCCTGGGACTTTAAAAACACCACACCAGCATGACTGTTACCCAGCCTTTCACTTGGAAATGAAAGATACTTCCTCACTGGAGTAAGTACTGTTAAAACAGCAGTTCCTACCCAACAGGTAACTAGTAAAGAACTGTCTCATGGTGTTCACAGTCAAAAAATGCACAGCTGATGGCCTACAAATAAGAACTTGGATGAGAGTTAAATAGCTTATGATGTAGGTTTAATCATTGACAACAAAATAAAAAGTCAACACAGTAGCAAGTTTGTGGCAGGTTAAGAATCCACTAAGAATGGCACTCCCTGAGTTTAGTCAGGGTGGATTTTTACCTGGTGCACCATTAATCACACTGAAGAAATGCTTTGGAAGTACTCCATTGCTATAAAGCACAAACAAGTTTTCTGAGAAGGTGACTGCTAATTCTTTGGATGTTCTTTTCTTTTTTTATATTGCTAGGGCACAACTGGTGCAGGAAGTCCCCAGCACACAGACATGAAAGTAACCAAGGAAATGTGCAATGCCCATAAAACACAGATAAAACCCTGCTGTGTTCTTTGGAAATGGCTGCTTCTTGTCAGCAAAACACGGAGTTTGAGCTTGAAGGAAGCACTTGAAAACGTGTCTGTCTGGAAGCAGGGGAGAACCAAGACTTCTGGTGAAATACATGGTTCTTGCTGTGAGAGCAAAGACTTCTCCAAAACAGTGTATAACATTTCCAGGGAAGCAGGCACAGCTTAGAAGCTATCTAACCAATAAGCTGTCATCTCTTTTATTCTGGACCCCAAAAAATTCTGAGACATTGCCCTTACAGATCACCTTCAACTCGCCTGAAAGTTTTAACAAGGAGATCCAAGTCCCACTCTGAACAGTCCTCAAGTTAAATGTTCACATCCCATCTCACAGGCTGGAGCCATCTCTGTTTTTCACAGCTGAGCATCAACTCCCCAGGGTCCCTAATGCAGCAGCAAGCCCTTGCCTCTTCAGCCTGAAGAAGGAGAGCAGCCAGAAAAGCAGAAATACCAGTCATACTGCAGGTTTCTGTAGTACCGTGATGACAAAAGTCATCACAGAGTTCAGCAGTCTGCAGTGCTGCACTTTAGAACCAGTAACAAGTCTTAAGTGTTCAAAGTAAGTGACTCTACAACAAATAGACATAGAATATCCATTAAAAAAAAAAAAAAAAAAGTATTGGTGTTGGCTGGGTTTTGGCTGGTTGTTTTTTGTAATAAGATAGAGATGTCCTCTCTTCTCATACTTTTCACTGAATGACTAGCAATTTTAACCTTCAGGCTTTCAAACATGCAGCTTTCACGTTACTTTCCTTCATCAGAAATATTTCTGAAGCTTTTGCATTCGCTTGCTGCCTTTTAACTATATCAGTACTTGACTGCTCTAGAGCTCTTTTAGGGTTGACACACAAATACCTTGTTTAGCTCAAAAGTGAAATCTTTACCTGAACTTTTATAGATTATATGTATTTCAAACATTTCTATTTAAAGCAGTATTTTTGAGCTGTTTTACACGGAAACACCACCCTTCAAATGCAAGCTTCACATTCAAGTAATTGAACCTCTAGCACAATGAAATCAGTTTTCATTTACACTTCAATGATTTTTTAAAAATAAACTGTAATTACCCAGTTTATACCTAAGGGAAATGGCTTTGACCAGACAGGACTGCCAGAACAAAATAATGAATAAAACTTGACATGTCATGATATACAGAGGAGGAGTCTGAAATAGGGGAAAGGACTTTGGCATGCAGAATACTAAACTGAGGAAGATGAAGCCTTATGAATAAAGGAAGAGCTTTCTATTGTGAAGAAATGGTGGCCATGTGGAAAGTGGTTAAAAAGCCCTGATACAAAACAGGAAATAAGTAGAACAACAGTGCATTTCTCCAGCAACCAGTTGGCTACACCCCCTCGACACCAGCTGCATCAGATATCTTCGCACTCCAGACACCACATTTATTTGTAAAGGCAATGGAAAAAACCCTTCCCTCTCAGTCCTGTGGCAGGGGAGATGGACACCTAATTTAAACACGAGTCTCAAAAGGAAATAAAGCACACTAAGTTTCCCTCACAATGTCTTGAAATAGCAGTGAGCTCTTCTTGCTTCCTTCCCCCTATCACAAAGAGAGCTATTTCACCTCAAAGTGACCGTGGAAAAACAGGAGTTATGTGTCAGAGGTCCTTCAGCTGGGGAGGGAAATCAAAGTCCTCACAATCAAGGCAGTAATTTCCTTCCAACCAAGGTCTGTGATGCACTTCCTTCTGAAGTGGCTGATGGTGTGTTCCACAGAGGACAAATTCATCTAACCATGCTCTTTGCTGCTTTCAGGCAGCTTACACAACACCAATACTGCCTGAAGCCAGGCTATGAAAGTGTTAATTTCCATGCAGGGCTGCACATCCCAAAGCAGCAAAGAGCTTTGAGCCAGTATCAGTGGATGAACAGCATCCTGCTATAAATTCATCATTAATATGGTCTATCAGAAAGTCTAAGAAAAAAAACAACACACACTACATCTCCTCACCATCTCTGTCACTTCCTGTTTCCCATGTATTAGCACATTTTATAATTCAGAATAAGCCTGACTAAAGAATAATTTAATTTAGCCACTAAACTAAACTGTAGTACCCACCGAGCACAGGAAAGTCCTCTGAGGATCTTTAAACAAGGCTCAACCTAAGCTTCCAACAAAGGACACAGCAAGAAGCCTGAATCTCAGTCCCCAAGATATCCTCACTGAATTCTCCAAACATTAACATTTTTTTTTATTATTTATTTCCAGTAAGTTTGATCTATGCTTGTAAAGGGATCAAATGCAAATAAAGGCCACAGCTTTCCATAAAAAGAGTCTGAGATGGAATTTTAAAAAGTGAAATGCAAGACTTCAGTAGGAGCCTGCACCAAGCACTTGCAGAACAGTGCTGGGGACGCAGGGAGGATTGATTTTCATGGAATACTCTACAAGAGGGAGTCAGGTCCCAGTAACTTCCAGGCAACAAGGCCATCAAAGCCTAGCCCCAGTGAAGGCTTCAGCTCCACGGCTGCCCCGCTGCAGGAGCAGGCCTGCCCACACAAGAAACAACTGACAAATCCAGGGAAACAGACTGGCAACCCATTCCTAGCACAGGGAGAACCGCACCAGCAAGTAACTGCTTTCGAAACTCTAGCAAAACCAGATCCCAGGGGCAATGTGAGCACAGGAGAAGCACAGTTTTCTCACCGTTAGTGCATCAGCACTTGAAAGTTTCTGTTGGCACAGACACCTGGGTCAGGGATCAACACACCTAAGCCAGCAAAAAGTCAGCAGAGCATTAGGAGCAGAGTTGCTAAATCCCCACGGAAAACAACATTTAGTGGTAGCTTGCAGTACTAGTAGCTCTTCTGATGAAGACTCTAAAGCACAACTGACTGCATAGCAGGAACATGTTCTTTATGATAAGGAAACAGAAGGTAAATTTGCAGTTCCACTAGACTTCTGCTTGCACCTGGACTTGTAGGACACTGAGAGCCAAAGGTGTAAACAACAGGCAGGCCCTTAACTCGGGCCACATTTAGCATCATGTCTTGTAACTCTGTGGGCACATTGGAAAACTGAAACAAAACCATACTTAAATATTCTCTCCCAGCTATATTTGTTGAATACTACTTTGCAATGGCAATTTGGAAACAGTTTGGGAACACAAAATGCCTTTTGGTTTAAGCAAAAGAGCTAGTCCAAATAGCAATTTAGCTTCAACAGTTATCTGAAGTCAGTCTACAGTCTTTTATTTTAAAGCCTGGGAAAGAACAAAATCCAAACAGGTTTGTGGTTTTGCCAATGTGAAAAAGTGTACTCAAACACTTTTTAGTTAGCACAGTTACTCAGTAATTAGCCTTCACTTAGAACTCCCTCCAACACCTACAAGCCATTCCACACCATCACCAAGAGATTGCTCCCATTCTCACAGTCTCAAACCTGCAGGTCACTCAGTTTGATGGACGAGAAGGTTGCCATGTTCTTCATGTGCTTTTCAAACCACAGAACAGGAACTCACATCTCTATCCAACCTCCTGATGTTGTGTATGAACTTCACTGTTTTAGACATTGGCTGTTTCTTGTAAAAGATCAGAATTGAAAATTCAAATGAATGGCTGAAAACTAGATTAGCTCACATCTCTCTCCAACCTCCTGACGTCATGTATGAACTTCACTGTTTTAGACATTGGCTATTTCTTGTAAAAGATCAGAATTCAAAATTCAAATGAATGGCTGAAAACTAGATTATTTTGCTTTCAAGCACAACTGGTGCTTGAGTTGAGAGAGGTTTAGCCCTGGGTTAGCATGATGGACAATGTCTCGGGGGGGAAATTTCTGAAGGAGGTTGGAGACAAGTGGGATGTCAACTTTCTGCCTGTCACCCATATTGCTGGTGCATGCTGGAGCCTACCTGATATACAAGTGAACATCTCTTTCAAAACAGTCAGGAGCTAGGCCAGTGAAACCCTTTATTGAAAACAAGAAAGCCTTGACAGTATGTGAACAGGGGAACCTCTAGCCCAGTTCCCACTGCCACAGTGACCAGAAGCAATTAAGAAATTCAATTAAGCAGCCACACAGATCTCAGCTAAGCAGAATCCCACCATCACAGCAGTCTCCATCACACGCTGTCTGCACAGGGCACCAACTCCTCCTGCCACTCCATTCATCCCTCCGCTGCACCTCAGTACTCCACAAGTGACCTGCTACACACGAGCCTCCCACAACAGTAAATCTCTTCCCTACAATGAAGAGTCCTGCTCTGCCCACTCAGCCCCCTGCTCTCTACCTCTCCTCATGGCTGGGCTCTTCCTCTTTGCCACTATCCAACCTGTGCTCTTCCACACAGGTGCTGTTCTCTCACCAGCTCATCCACTGCTGATCTCTCTGGC